TGTGTGTGTGTGTGTGTCTGTCTGTGTGTGTGTGTGTGTGTGTGTGTGTGTGTGTGTGTGTGTGTGTGTGTTCTTTTGTTATTGTTCTCTTATAGATCATTTATGGATCATATTTTCCTCCACACTGGGAGCTCCAATAACTTCCTAATAAAAAACATATAAATAAATACATTTTTATATTGTTATACTTCTACAATAATGTCTAGCGACTTCATCTTCCTTTTTATTGATAAGTTATTCAAAAACTTGCCATCAGTCACATTTCAGAGAATCAACCAGAATAAAAAGTTGAATGAGAGAAATAATCCTTTAGATGTAAAATTAATAAAACATAAAAGAGAAGTTATACTTCCGTCTGTTTTCCTCCCTGAAATTCTGACACACAAATCATTTATTTATGAGACACTTTCTGTTTTTAGTTATTTAAAGAACTCCTTTTAGTTTTTATCAAATATTTAAAACGGTTAAGAAAAGAAGTTGTTTCAAGATATGAAAACATCATAGGAGATCACTGTCTTTGTGCTGACTCATCATTTAAATGCCACAAACACACGTTTTCTCTTCTCGGTGTTGCAGGAAAAAGCACGTGTCGGCCATTTTGAACATTCGGGGGACGACTCGGCAGGCGGAGCGACAGGAGATCCTGAACATCGTCAAAGACATCGAGAGCTGCGACGCCGGCAGCGTTGGTGGAGGTGGAGTCAGCTCGGCCCGGCTGACCCGGGACCGAGCCCTCTTCTCCGAGGTGCCGGTCACCTCCGAGGTCCACTGCCTGAACGTGGGTCTGAGCCGCATCGCCCTCACCGCCTCGTCGTGCTTCTCCTCGCTGAGACCACGACCACGAAAAACCAGAACGCCCGTCCAGGAAAACCCCGACGACGTCCTCTGAACAGAGTTTATTAATCGTGATTATTAATCTGTGTAAATGTCTCTGAATGCACCAAAGTGTCTTTTCTCTGGAGACGTTTGTCCAAACCGAGACGAATATCAGATCAAACTTTTACACTTTTATCTCTCTGAGAGGACAGAAGACGGGATTATTAGTCACATAATTATAATCATAGACGCATCAAATCAATTCTCTTCATTGAAACACGACTTATTGATTTGAGATATTAAAAATAATGCACTTTTTGTCTACGGGAGCCTTGAGAGGCGAGTAAGAAGATAAAAAAAAGTCTTGTGATATAAATTGTTAACGTCGTAAAGGGACAGTGTGTAGGATATAGTGCCATCTAGTGGTGAGTCTGCAGATTGCAACCAACTGAACACCCCTCTGCCCACAGCTTCCTGTTCCAAGACTGAAGCTTTGTTTGTTTGTTTTTACTGAGAGCTTCATGTCGACAGCGTGCGACCTCCAAATATGTCAAAAGAGCCAGAGTTTGGTTTTTGTCCTTTCTGGGCTCCTGTAGCAACATGGTGGACTCTGTGAAGAGGACCGGCTCCCTTTGTAGGTATAAAGGACTCATTTTAAACTGAAGAAAACACAACAATTCTTAGTTTCATGTGATTATCTACTAATAAAAACGTAGTCATGAATATTATACTTAATTTTAATTGATACACGCTGGCCCTTTAAGAACAGGATCCTTTATTTTCAGGTAAAATATATTTTATGTTAGCAAGTTAAATAGAACTCAGCTGGACGTAAACATGAATGCTTTTAGGTTCATTTAGAACGCTTCAGTCTCATGTGGCCGCAATGAGAATTACAACAACAACAAAACATCACCTGGTTAAAAAAACTATTCATTAAATGATAAAGTTTGTCCTTTTAAAAGCTGTTTTTAAAACTGTTTGAATCACATTTAGAAAATGCATCTCCAGAAGGTTTCTCTTTCTCACTGGCCTCTCTGGGCTTCCGTACTTTTTTTATTTTTTTAGTGTTCGGAAGAAAAATCATTTCTTTCGATTCAAGCGTCTCGTGTGATTTGGGACAAAGTGTCCTGATGGACTTCTGGACTTTAGAGCTGAAAGACGCCTCGTAGAGGATCAATAAAAGGAAAACCAGCTCTCTGTGCAGAGGTGCATTATGGGACAGAAGACCGGAACAGGAGGACTGAACCTGGACCATCAGGACTGAGAACCAGCAGGATCAGGAGACTCTGGATCTCACATTCAGGATTTGTTTCTCTGTGAAGTTTAGAATCACAGAAAAAAAAGAAAAAAGAGAGTTTTACATTTTTATTGTTGCACAAGATAAAATTAAATAAAGTTTTAATTAAAGGTACTACGATGATCTGAGATGATCTTTAACGCCGTGATTATACTTCAAGCTCTTTAGTGTGATGAGGTTTATTATATATATATTGTATGTATATATATATATATATATACATACAATATGTATGTGGGATGAATATTACTTCTATTTGGTGGTAAAATAAGAGTTTTACTTCATAATATTCTTGTTGATTTAGAAATAAAAGGCTACAGATTGAGATTAAACGTCATATTTTAATAGTTTATTCTGTGTTTTTATGTTTGAACTCATAAACAAATAACACAATATTTAATTTACTGCTGATCATTTTTTCAAAAAGCGTGCACCAGTTCTTCTTTTATTGATTATTGATGATTTTCTAGATTTAGTTTTTATCTGCTGTGTTAGAGCAGCATCACTGGTGCGTTCAGGGACGTAAATTTCACATTTAATTTTCAGTCACATGAAAGTGCAGCAGGTTAAAGTTAGACCCGAACCCATGGTAACACTTCCTGTCAACTCCTTCAAAGTAAAAGGCTGTAGTTACATGCTCTGACCACCGGATGGCAGCGTTCACACTTTTATTTTTCAGCTGTCTCCTGTAAATGTAAATGTGTTTGAAATGAATCAACTTTAATGAGAATAAAACCGATCAGATCACCGACTGCTCTTCTTTTATTTGAGCCAGAAATATATCATTTGTTTTTACAATAATAATTTTATTTAGAGTCTGAATCATTACATTTATTTTAGGTGTATTTCTGTTTAACTTGAGTTTTGTTGTTTCTTTATAAAAGATGTGATCGTGATATAAATAAACTACGTGCACAATTTAAAATTACTTTTGAATTCATTCATGACTTTTCAGGAAAACGATAACAAACCTACTTCCTGTTTAAGTCTTTCACCTCGAAAACAAAGAAATAAAAATGTGTTTTTACAAAATTTACAAATACATTTACACATTTTTTCACTTTTACACTTTTTAATTATATTTCGGACAAACAAAAATAAAAAAAATCAATCCAAATAAATTACATATAAAATGACAGCTTCATAATAATCACGTGCCGTTTAATTAATACACTACAAATGTGTTTTTTCTAGTATTATAAAACAGTGTATTTGAATATGTCTGACCTTAAACAGTCTTCATTTGCATAAACTGGTTGTGACCGATATATAAAGCTATGTATATATATATATATATATATATAGTTTCACATATAGTTATATATATAAATTGATATATTTAACCATGTATATATATTATATATTTATAGTTTTGTTTTTTGTGGACACCTTATTTTGAAGGCGGCTCGCGGCAGAAGTGCAGCAGCAGTTTCCGGTGGGAGGGGGGGGTGTTTTAGGTTGGTCGCTCTCGTTCTCGGTCTCGGCTGTAGAGAACCTGTGTGTGTGTGTGTGAGAGAGAGAGATCAGAGAGAGAGAGAGAGCGGAAGGAGGAAAGATGGCGGCCCCTGCTCTCTCCAGCCGGGCTGGCTCTGCGGGCAGCCTCGGGAACAGTCCCACCATGACCTCCGGGAGGCTCCTTCACGGAGGAGGAGGAGGTCTGGAGCTCGACTTCAGGTCCGCGGCCCGCATAGAGGACCTGAACCGGCTCATCCAGGAGTTCAGTAAGCACGACCAGCGGGAGTACGACGACCAGCGGGCTCTGGAGATCCACACGGCCAAAGACTTCATCTTCTCCATGCTGGGTGAGCGACCACTAGACCCCCAGACCCCCGACACACCCAGTCCGCTTTCTGCAACACAACAACAACAACAACAACAGGGTTCGTCCTGTTTCCGGTTGAGAGCAGCTCTGATGCATATTTAATATTTAATCCCGGGATGTGGTGCTCGTCTCCCCGGTGGTCTACCTGCAGACCTGCAGACCTGCAGACACACCTGTAGACCTGTAGAGAGACCGCGGTGGTGCGTTCACGCTCTCCTTCCTTTACGTGTAGAAACATCACGTAGTTAGAATCAGTAATAACAGAGTACCTTTAGTCAAGGACTGGAATTAATAATGTGAATA